ACCTCGCCAGTCTTCACTAGTCTCTCCCCCACATACCAACCTGCCTGGGCACAGAGCCGATTGTCCAGCAGGCTGTGCCTGCACCTCTTCCCCCTCCGCCCAAGCAATCAAGAGAAAAGTGTCCATCCCCTCCCGTAGGAATAACTGCCCAAATCTCAGTCAACCCCAAACATGCAAACAAGACCTTTGACGTAGAGTGACCCTGATCCTGTGGCCCCCTCGTGCATGTCATCTTCATAACTCCACGAGTTGGCTACCTTTGTTATGCACAGGAGGAAGCGGAGGATCAGAGAGATGAAGCCACTTGCTCAAGGACACACAGGAGGAAACAGCCAGCAGCCTCCAAACGCAGGCCAGCCGTGCTGCCCTCTCCCTGCACCAGGGAGCCCGGGCCCGGTTCTGTTCTCTGGGCATCGCTTGCTCCTGTGGAAATCAGCAAGTTCGAGAGGAAAAGGGACTATTCCAAAAGATGAATATGGCTCATCTAAAACTGTGAGTGAGATTTTCCTTTAATTCCAAAGGGTCTCCTCTAGCTTCCCGGCTTCTGAGAACCATCACATCCCACCCTATCTGCCTACCTGCCCCCCTCCCCTCTCACCTATGCCCACTGGAATGGGCATTTCACGAGGGACACATTGGAAGGGAAGAACCTGGGACAGAGATTAAAAATCAGCTCACCATACCCAATCCGCATCCACCAACCCCTGGAAAAATGGACATGGCCTTTTTACCTCCTCCCTCAGAACTATCCCAAGGCTGGAGTTCTTGGGACCAGCAGCAAAAAAAAAAAAAAAAAAAAATTTCAGCAAGTCCAAGGGGGAAGATTGGTGTGGCTGTGGGACTTGATTCTGAAGGATGCAGGTGGGGCTTATCACACCTGCATGGATGGTGTCTGGTCTCAGCCCTCCTACAGTCCCCAGGCTCACCTAGTCAGCACTCCGGCGTGTGGCTGCTTTAAAGGGGGAACTCATTAAATGACAGGGCAGCCTGCTATCACTCTTATCACTCATTGTTTTTTCTTCCAGTCAGTGGAAATATTGAAACTGGGTTTTCCTCTTAGCTCGACTTTAGGGGAAGGAAGCCCTGTGGGCAGCTCACCTCCACACAGACTTTATCATTATTATTACTGTGATTACTCTTTTGTCCCCTTCATCTAAGGTTTGTTGTGTCTACTCTGTCTTGCTGCAATACATGAATCTTGGTGCCCCACCTCAAATTATTTTTGGAATAAGCTGAGCTCTAAGCCCATGAAGGCGGCCCTTGGTTTGAATGAAGGTGTAGGGGTTGGGGGACAGGGTGGTCAAGGCAGAGCACGGTAAAAGGGGCGCCCGCTGGAGGCAGGGACCAGCTGCCAAGGCCAGCATGACTTCCTCACCGCTCTGCTCTGGAGCTGCTTCTGGTTCTGTTTTCCAGATGAAGCTACTGGCAGGAAGAGATTCCACGTCTGGCCCCTTCTGCCCCCATCTGAGCCTGTCTGTCCAGGGGTTTCCCTGAAGAATGTCACACTGTCCACAAGCTCCCTGAGCTCCCTCCTCTACTCCCAGGCAATAAGCAGATCAAGGAGCCCCGATCTAGGTATTTCGCATCTCTTGTAAATCACCTTCCTCTTGGACAGGAAAGTGGGGGCTGTGCACTGATTCCATTTTGTTGATCAACATTTCCTGGGTAACTTGAGAGCGGTCTCTCTTTGATTCTTTCATTAACGCTTGACGATAGTTTCTAGACTGAGTCATATCTCCAAGGTAACTGTAAATACCATCATTTCTGATGGCCCAGCCGGCTACTTGCAATTATCCAGATTAATGTCAAGTGGGCACAGGCTGTGTATTCTGGCTGAGCCCACGAACACTCGGAACCTTGCATGCCGTGGCCAGAGCCTGAGTCCTCTGTGCTCGGGGGGCCTCTCCCACATGGGCTGGCTCCTGCTCCTGGCAGCCCGCTGGAGGTGGGGAGGGAGGGTGCTGGTGACATGGAGCCATGGAGCCCTGGAGTCTGCGTTTGTAGTCTTCTCCAGCACCCAGGACAGAATGCCCCGGAGGACCAGGGGACCTGGGCTTTTCATGTGAGACCCACCCTGAACTAGGAAAAAGCAAAGGAGCAAAGGGAAGAAAGACCTGAGGTTCCGATTCGGAGAGTCCGCTTCTTTTCCGGCTCCTGGAGCCGGAGCATGAGCCCATCTCTACGGAGGCCTCGCCCAGGACATCCTCCTCCGGGGACCAGAGTGCTCTGCCCCCACTTCACCCAGGAGCGCTTTCTCTTCTCTTTCCCTGTGTCTTGTTTTTAAGACAGACAAATACAAAATTGCTTGATGTACTTTTTGTTGTGATATTAATCCTCACCCGAGGACATTTTTTCCTTTTTTTTTTTTTTTTTTTGAAAGAGTGGAAGGGAAGGAGAGAGGGAGACAGGGAGGAGGAGGAGGAGGAGGAGGAGGGGAAGGAGGAAGAGGAGGAGTATGACAATGATGATGAAAAGGATGAAGGAGGAAGAGGAGGAGGAGAGAGAGAGAAAGAGACAGAGACAGACACATGGACAGGTTGCTTCCCACATGGGGCCAGGATCAAACTTGCAACCCAGGTACATGCCCTTGACTAGAAAATGAACCCACAACACTTCGGTGAGAGAGCTAACATTCTAACCACTGAACACACTGGTCAGGTCAACTTAGTGTACTTTTAAAGTATAGAAAAAATATACACTTCACTGAGTGATTATGACATTTGCTGGCCACATAATCTTCGGGGAGAAAAATGAGAAAGAGGAGAGCAGGTGAGGGGGACGGACAACAGGAAGTCATATAAGAGACAGCGAGAAGGGAGAAAATCACTAAGGAGGAAAATAAATGGGAGAGGTGAGGAGGCTACAAAGAGAGAGGAGTCAGAGTGTTTGCCGAATGAATGAAATGAATGCTGAAATGTCCTCACCTAAAATGTAAGACGCTAAGGGAAGTGGGGATCCCTCACTGAAAGTCCACTGCTAGTAAGAGTTCAAGGGAGCATTAGATCCCAGGTCTCCCCAATATCCACTCTAAGGGAGTGCCAGCCTCACTTCCTCAAGGCCTGGGTCTGGGCTCCCCAGGAGCCTGCCCAGGAACGAATGGCCCGGTGTCTCACCTACAACACCTCACTGCTGGCTTCTGCCAACCTAACTCCCGAATGAGAACCCTAGCACAGGAAGAAGTGCGAGGTGGATAGGAAACCCCAGCTCTAGTGGCTGCTCTGCCTCTGACTTGCTGTGTGACCGGGAGGATGTGCCTTCCCCTCTCTGGATCCCTGAATCCCCTCTCTAAGGAGTGACCAGGGACTGTGTGATGAAGCCAGGCTGGCTTTGCTGAGTCCTCTCAGCAACCTTACCCCTCACAGCTAGGTTGGCATAACAAAGGTGCTCAATAAATATTGAAGACAATTGGCCCAGGAATAATGCTAGACTACCTAGGAGGGCTGGGAAAGCCAGGAGTCTGGTTTTGGGGAGAGAGCAGAGCAAAGTTATCCAGTTGAGTAAAGGGAGATTTCAGTTTGCACCAGATGGTTGTTTGAGACTCTTGGAAGCAGTAATGATTATATCAGGAAATGGGACATTTGTGCTGTCTCAAAAGGCAGATAGGATAAAAGCAAACCCCTTGGTTTCTCCTGACAAACACTGGAGTCCCTGGCATCCCAGTGGACTTTTATGTGCTTGCCCTCAAACAAAAAGCTCTGAGTTATTCACCACCACTGGTTACCCCTCCTACTCTTGGCAAATTGTGGCAATGAGACAGCAACTGCCTGGAGCTCCCAGCAATCCAGAGACAGCCCCTAGCACAGTGGTTCGCAACCTTTTTCCGATGGTCTTAGGTGACCCTGCTAACGGTTCTCAACCTGTTGAGACCCATCCTGTCTAGACCCACATGTTGAGAACCGCTGCTGTAGAGTCTAAGACCATCGGAAAACACAGATATTAACATTACAATTCATTAACAGTAGCAAAATTACAGTTATAAAGTAGCAATGAAAATAATTTTGTGTTTGGGGGTCACCACAGCATGAGGAACTGTATTACAGGGTCAAGGCATTAGGAAGGTTGGGAACCACTGTCCTAGCGCTCCCCCCCCCCCCCCCCCAGCCCATAGTGTCTCTGCTCCCCCAAACTTCCTCGCCACAGATCACCCCATTCTTTCCTCTCCTCCTCTTCTGCCAGTCACCCAGACACCAGCCAAACTGGGACAAAAACCCCTGGCCACCCTCAGCACTGCCCTCACAGTCCTCCACCTGGAGGGCAAGTTCCCCACCTAGAGAAATCACCCAAATCTCCCGTCAAATTTGAAAATGTGGGACCTTGCTCCCCTCCCTTCCCCACAGCCCCAGCAGAAGCACATCCCTTAGCCCTCAGGCTTGCCTACAGCACCTGGTGTTACTCACCTCTCTCCCACCTCCACCAAGCCAGGGCTCACAGACTCACTGCCCAGCACCCTACCAGCGCTTGGCTGGCCCAATTGAATCGCCCATCTCCCACTGCCCTTATCCGAACCGGAACCTGTGGTTCTGGCTGGCTTGAACTTAGAATGGACGTTCAACGCAAAGTGAACTTAAAGTGGAGGGATCTTGAAGCTGGGCCCGGGGTTCAAGAGTGACCTCCACCGCTCCCCAACAACTCTTAAACACCATCACTTGAACCTCCGTTTCCAGGTCCATAACGAGGAACCATTACCATGTGCAGCCCAAGGACCATGCTAAGGACTTTATGTGCATTTTTCCCTTTTCCTTCCCCTCCTGCCTAGTGACAGCTGGTACTTGCATCATTATTGTCATTTTACAAAAGAGGAAGTCGAGGCTCAGGGAAGTTATGCCCAAATCACTTGGCCAGTGGACGATGGAGCCATGCATAAATCAAACCCAGCTCTGCAGGATTCCCACCCACCCACCCCCAAGAAGGCCCCAGACTCCCCAATGTGCGGAGGCAGCAGAGGCAGGGCCCTGCCCAGCCAGCATGCTTGCTCCTCCCAGTCTCCCAGCCCGCACTACCTTCCTTGGGCGCGTTGGCGTCCCAGACGCTCCACATCTGCACAAAGAAGAACGGTGTCCAGCACACGATGAAGGCCAGCACGATGATGAAGGTCATCTTGACCGTGCGGATCTTGGCCCTGGAGATGAGCTTGACGCTGCTGACTCGAGCCAGGGCCGCTCCCTCCCTGCTGCCCGCCTTCGCGCACTCGGGCCCCTTGGCCGCCCCCTCGGCCGCCGTCTTGTTCCGGAAGTTCTGCCAGATCTTGAAGCAGATGAGGCTGTAGCAGGCGGTGAGCACGATGACCGGCACGATGTAGACGGCCAGGGTGATCCACGTGACGTAGGCCTTGGGCCCCCAGGGCTGGATGAAGCCCGCCCAGCAGTCGAAGACGCCGTCGGCCACCTCGCGGATGGAGAAGATGTGCACCTGCGGCGCGCTGGCCACCAGGCAGCCCAGCCAAGTGAGGAGCACAGCCAGGCGGTCGGCGCGGCGGCGCAGGGTGCGCAGCGGCTGGCAGATGGCCAGGCAGCGGTCCAGCGACATGAGCAGCAGCAGGTAGGTGGAGGCGAACATGCCCACCACCTGCAAGTACTTGACAAGGCGGCACAGCAGGTCGGGGCCGTGGAAGCGGAAGGTGATGTCCCACAGCAGCTGCGGCAGCACCTGGAACACGGCCACCACCAGGTCGGCGATGCTCAGGTGCTTCATGAAGAAGAAGAGGCGCGAGTGCTTGTGGCGCGTGGTGCGCAGCGCCAGCAGGACGCACGCGTTGCCGCTCAGCGCCAGGAAGAGGATGAGGCACAGCACGGCCACCTCCACGCGCGCCAGCGCCTCGTTGCGCAGCGGCCCGAGCGTGCGGTTGCCCTGCGGCCCGGGCGGCGCCGCGCTCCCGTTGACCGCCTCGGCGCTCCAGTTGGCCTCGAGGGCGCCCTCCATGGCCGTGGCCTTCGGGTGCTTTGTCAGACGCGGTGTGACGCGATGGGGCGGGCCCGACGGGGGCCTCCTGGCGCACCTGGGGGCGGCTCCGATTTCTCTCCGGAGACTCCGAGGGCTGATCTGCCGGGTGGGACCCTGAAACAAACCCCCCAGTGCCTTGAAAAGACCGCCACGGCTCTCTCCCGAAGCACGTGCTGCGCGGGTATCCCCTTCCCGGGACCCCAAATCCTCTGTGACTCGGGGTGCAACTGCGGGCCCCGGGATCGCCACCCCAGAAATCCCCGATTGAGGTACCTCCTCCGAGCCGCTGGAAATGACCGCGAATCTATCGGACCTCCAGTTCCTTCAGAGTCAGTCGCTTAGAGGAGAGGGGAGGGTCCTCATCAGCCACTCTGCCCCAGGACTGGGACGCCTACCAAACCAGGGATCCCCAAACTAGCTACCCGCCCCCAGGACTCTCAGCCCTGCCACCTTCCGCAAGACCCCCAAGCCTTTCCTAGTAAACGTTTCTCCAGTGACTCCCCCCGGAGATCCCGGACAGCCCTAGCCTGGAAAACCACAGCTCAGGACCATCCTGCAACCTCCTGTTTCTAAGACGCTTAACCATCCCCCCACCCTCTCACCCCACCCCCCGAATTTCCACAGCAACTGCTTCCGCGGGACCCCAGCCCAGGGGTCCCTTCTAGAAGAAATCCCGCCTCAGTATCTGCCTCCAGGACGCCTAACCGCTGTTCCCAAAAGTCCAACAGCTGTTCCCAAAAACCCTCCAGCGGGGTCCTCCGGGCCCAGACACCTCCCGAGGGGAACTTCCCCAACCCAGCGCCCTGGGGCATTCCAAAGCGCATCTTGGTCCCGGGGGCCATGGGCTCTGGCACTTTACAATCTCGGGGCACCCCGCGCGCCTACAGGAACCAGGAGAGCGAGGCACTTCACCACTTTCACTTGGATCCGAAATGGCCCATCAGTCCCAGCCATCCATCCCATCCACGGAGGGGCAGGAGGATCCAGCTACCTGCACCGAGTCCACGGGCTGGCCTGAAGTTGGCTCCGGGAGTTGCACCGCCGCGGAAGGCTCCAGAGATGCGTGCGCTCCCAGCCCAGGCTGGGGTGGCCGCGTTGGCACCGTCTGACAATAGACTGAGTTCTTGCGCTCTGGAGCCTCCCTGGAATCCCCTCTCCCGCAGCCTGACGTCCGCTGATGGGGACAGAGGCGAGTGAGAGCGCCGCCAAGATTGGTGCGCGCGGACGGCGTCAGCCTGCGGTGCGGTCTGCCGGCGCCGGGGCGCTTTTCCGCAGCCAGTGGCCGGGCTGCACCACCACAGAAACCCGCCGGGGGGCGCAGAAGGCCGACAGGGCCGACCCCCGCAGGGCCGGGTTAACTCACTAGGTGTTGTTGGCCTCCGAGCGGTAACCAGCAGGTTTAGTTCTCAGTCTTTAAAACTGGAGGAAAGGAACTTGTAAATAACCCTGTTGGTTTCTTCCTTTCTTGGTTCAGAAGCTGCAGACTTTCAGGCAATAGGAGGCTTGAATAACAAGTGTTTTCCGGAGTAGATGGTGATGAAGTTGCAAAAGCATTTAAGTGATACTTCCCATATACCAGGCAGGTTAATTTCAGCGCTCGCTCTCCCCTCCCAGGGGCTTGATGTGGTGGATTTAGCAGTGAATACGAGTAAATCCTTGCTTTGGTATACTTTAGCTCATATTTCCATTCATGAGGAATTAGAAATGCTGTCCGTTTTAATCAGCAAGGGGAGAGGTCTTTGTTTTTTAAGTTGTTTTAGAGAGAGATCTCACAGGGGTGGAGGATTATATCTTCATTTTAATTTCTTTTCTTTTTTTAATATATTTTATTGATTTTGTACAGAGAGAAAGGGAGAGAGATAGAGAGTTAGAAACATCGACGAGAGAGTCATCGATCAGCTGCCTCTTGCACACCCCCCACTGGGGATATACCCGCAATCAAGGTACATGCCATTGACGGGAATCGAACCCAGGACCCTTCAGTCCCCAAGCCGACGCTCTATCCATTGAGCCAAACCGGTCTCGGCCATATGGGGCTCTAAATCATCTCTGCCTCCTTGCCATGCTACAAAATTAAAATCTTAGATAGTGCCACAAGAAGGTTAAATGTAAAGACTGCTTCTCTGGCTCCTAGCTCCTTTTCTATTCTGAAATCGTTTTTTGGACTAATTTACAGTGGCAAGAACAAAGGCAGAAGGAAAAAAAAGTGGAGATTCAAAAATGAACAGAGCTCTTTAAAATTTATTAAATGCATATTTCCTCCTGACATTTCACTTCTCCTTTTAATTATGTGGATACAGCTGAGTTAGCCAAGGACCCTGTTTCCTGATTCCAAAATTACAGTCTGATGACAAGACTCGGGGCAGACCCTTAGGCAGCCCTGGGCCTGCGATTCTAGTGGACTGCGCCTTTTAGGATGGGCCTGGGAATTCATTTCCTGCAGCATTGTGAAGAGGCAAGAGGCAAGAATTGTCTTTTTCTTGCCCTTGGGATTTGTTCAGAAAAAATATTGTTTAGAAAAATTCAATTGAGTCCATTTTAAAGATCGTATTGGCTTTATTTAATGATTAATGAATCAAGCAGCATTCAATCTAGCAGACAGAAAGCAGCTCAGAGGACTCTTACAAAATGAAAGACTTTTTAAAAGCGGAAGGGAGTGGGAACAAGGAGTTATACTAGGCAAATATCGGGTTAGTTATTGCAAGGTTACTTTCCCCGTAGGGGATGATGGGTTTATCAAGTAGGTTACCTAGCTAGTGCTGATCAGAGGACTGACCAGTTTAAGATTTTTATCTATGGCAGAGTCAAACTGTAATGGCAATGTTGGATTTAGCATAAGTATCTCCACTTGAGACCTGTTGTCTTGTTTTTTTTTGTTTGTTTGTTTGTTTGTTTTAGCAATATTAATAGTATCTGCCACACAAATTACATATTTAAGTTTCAATCACTCAGATGAGGATTAAGTGACCCTGGGCCTCCATTTCTGCATAAGTAAAATGAGGGCTGGTCAGTAGCTAATCTCTGAGATCACATCCTCTGGTTTTCTGAAATGTTATGATCCATGCCACCTCAGAGCTTAATTCTAGCGGGATAAACACACCAGCCCCATCCCATGGCTGATGAGGAGGGGTTTCCCCTGAACACCCTGAGGGGTGCATTCTGGGAGGAAAACGCTGGCCCTCCGCAGGAACAGAGCTGCCTGTGGGGAACAGCTTTCCTGGGCCACCTCTTCAGGGCTCCACGATTTCAGCCCACAGGGGAGGCCTGCCCAGTCCTGTGCGGAATTCTGGACACACTTAGCAGGCAGGACCATTCGGTTTCATACAATAACTAAAATCTCATGTAGCCTTCATGGGGGGTGGGGGTGGGGGATTCCCTTTCCTCTTGTTTTTTTCTCCAGGTGTGCAAAAGCCGGGCGGGGGGTCGGGGGTGGGAGGTGCTATTTACTGTGGGGTCCTTGTGAAGACGCCTCACGATGAATAAGGCATACTCCCACCCCCGGTGCCTCCAGCTGGGGAGACGTTGCCCCCACCCAACACGAGCAGTGCTTTGCACACAGGGAAGTACAGTACAACTAACTCTGTGTTATACTGACACTCTCAGCCCAGGTCCATCCAATGAAAATTGTTTCTCATCCAATCAACCTCCATCTTATTAATCTTTCTGCATGGAGTTCACGTGTCTTTTCAATTCAGTTAGACAAACACCGTGTGTGTGTGTGTGTGTGTGTGTGTGTGTGTGTGTGTGTGAGAGAGAGAGAGAGAGACGGTGCCAGGCAAGGACAGTAGCTCCTTTGAACCTCACTGGTGTGATGGGAATTCCAAATCTTTACCTCCTCAGGGACACCCTCTTTCTCTGACTACCCTGCCCTCTGAGAACTCGCCACTTTCTGAGCCTCTGCTGCGTGAGTGCAGGTTTTCACAGTGCTGACTGCACTGTAATATGAGTGTGCTCAGTCTCCCCATTCCGTTGTAATTAATTCCGTTTAGTATTAATCCCATATATCAAAGTCCTTTATGTATTTACATACCATCTTTCCTATCACACATACCTATCAATAAAAATATGTTGAGAAAATGGTTCCTGGACTACCCAAGAACATCCCTCAACAAATTAATCACTATGGGCAGACCTGTGCTTCCCAGAACAATATTTCTGTGGAAATCAAGATAAGGAGGAATCTTTGTGAGAAAGCATGTTACTCATGCATATGTACCATTCTTCCAGAGAGGGTGTGATGACAGAGATAAGGCATGATGCTTCTAATTCCTCAAACATGCCCACTGACAGTGGATGTCACAGTGCAACTATGTAGAAATTGGCACACAAAAAATCATGTTCTCCCTTGGTAGACCTTGTTGGCCTAGGTTAAGACATAACGAGAGAGAAAAGCATTTTCCAGAATGCCAGACCTTAGAATAAAAACAGGCTGTTCTATTGCGGACTATATTCAGAGTGAGGATCTTTGGATTTGTGATTTCTTCTGGAGGATAAGGACCTAGAAGAGTGGAGGGTCATTTAAAAGTGGCCGTAAACCTCAAAACAAGCAGAATGGCTGTGATTCTCAAGTCTGTTTCACAGAGGAGGGAACAGTTCGGAGAGGGAAGGGGACTTGCCCATGGCCACACAACTGGTTAGAGAAGGCCAGCATCACCGGCATAAAGTGTGAGGCAAATGTAGAGAGGGTGGGAGAACCAGACGACCCTGTCTGGTAGCCATGGTGGAGACTTTGCGCTCGCGCGCGCGCTCTCCCTCCCTCCCTCCCTCCCTCCCTCCCTCCCTCCCTCCCTCCCTCCCTCCCTCCCTCCCTCTCTCTCTCTCTCTCTCTCTCTCTCTCTCTCTCTCTCTCTCTCTCTCTCTCTCTCTCTCAGGGTTCCTGGAAGATTTGGGAGTTTTAAGGAGAGCTGTGATCAGTGAAAAGCATTTACATTGTGGGGGGTGGGGCGGCACAGATTGGAAGCAAGCAAATCAATTAAGAAGCTGCTGAGAACAGAGGTAGCCTGACTAGGGTGGTGCCCAGGGCCATATGGCAAGGACTCGCCCAGTGTCACAAGTAAAACCAGACCACACTCTCATCTGCCCATGAACCCGGCCACTCCTGTGCCATGAAAGGCCTGAGCAGCATTAAAGAGGCCCTGGAAGTGAAAGTTGGAATGACGTTTTGGTGACGTAGAGGGGGGCTGAGGAAAGGGGATAAGGGTCCGCTGGAATCAGGTGAGGTCAGTCTAGATGCACATAGGACACGCAACTAAAACAAATACTGCTTTCAATACTCCTGCCCATTTCTATCAGCTCCTCTCTAACAGAATGGAGAAGGGAGGAGAGTGGGGAGGAAAGGAGGGAAAGGAAGGAGAGGGGAGAAAGAGAAAAGGAAAAGATATTTCTTCCCAGAGGGGTAACCAACGAAGTCTGCCTGGGTTGCTGACTACATGGTACTATTTCCTGTGCTCTGTGATGCACAAACATGCATTTAATACGCATTTTCTAAGCATCGGCTGGGATCCAGCGGAGTGATTCTGAAAGTGGTGCTCTGGGTTCGGAGTTGAACTCCATCGACCAGTGCCCCCGAGCAGGGTGAGAAAATCAAGGCAAGTGGAGGAACCAAATCTCTGCCTGAGTGCAGCTACAACTCCACCAGGAAGGCTCTGCCTGGTGTGGCCCGTGGGCAAGGCCCCATGTTCTTTCCTTACAATGAGACAATCTCTTTGGTCCCCCATAGCTCTTGCTTCCTATCATCCTCTAGATCTGGGCAGCAAAACACACACAGTGAAGCAGTGAGTATGAAACAGACAGATGAAGCATCCTCAGTGCCAACGAGGCACATAGTAGGTACTCAATAAACACTGCAGAAAGAATGAGTATGTGCTGTATGGGAAAGGCTAACACGCTCTATAGAAAGAGTGAGTCCAGCCAGTGAAATGTTATCATTTTTCATCTAGCAGACAGATGAAAATGAAAAAGGAAAATACCCTGGGGGAGGAAGGGGCAGGGGGATCTGATGCTCTCAAACATTGCTGACTGAAAGGAATGTATTTTGGAATAGCATCCTTAAGAGAAAACTGGACAATAAGTACCAAAGCCTGAATCCTCGGCTGCAAGCGGTGCACTTGTTGACACAGCAATTAACCCTTCTAAGTGATACAATTGAACAAAAAAGCAAAGAGGTATAAGGTGTTAATCAAGCATCGTTGGTAACAGTGAAAAGGGATGAGTGGAACAAGACTAGGACTATGCGCATTCAGTGAAAAGCTATAGAAAGGTTAAAAATGATAGGGTGGATCTGAGTTAATGGACATGGAAAGGTGGTGTGTGTGTGTGTGTGTGTGTGTGTGTGTGTGTGTGTATGAGAGAGAAGAGGAGGGGGAGGAGGATGGTAAAGAGGAAGAAATGGGGGAGGGGAAAGGAGGGGAGACTGTCTATAAAGGATA